CCTTGAGTGAAGAGTAGCTAAAGCAAACAGAAGAAATGACAAGATAAAAGAGCTGAAGAGAAGATTGCAAAGAGCAACCTGAGAGGACAAAGCCAGTTATAATGAAATGTGCAAAGACCTGGAGTTAGAAAAACAGAAGGGAAGAACATGCTTGGTATCTCTCAAACTGAAAGAAGTGAGGGAAAAATTTAAGCTTCTAGTTGCAATATTGAAAGATTCTATGGGTAGCATATTGAATGATACAGGAAGCATCAAAAGAAGATGGAAGGAATACACAGAGTCACTGTACCAAAAAGAATTGGTTGACGTTCATCTGTCTCAGAAGGTGACATATGATCAAGATCCAATGGTATCGAAGGAAGAAGTTGAAGCTGCGCTGGAGGAAGTGGTAACAAACAAGGGTCCAGGAATTGACAGAATACTCATTGAGATGTTTCAACAATTGGATGTCCCGCTGGAGACACTCCCTTGGCTATGCCACAACCTTTGGAAGACAGCTACCTGGCCAACTGACTGGAAGAGATCCATATTTGTACCCATTCCAAAGAAAGGTGATCCCAGAGAACATGGAAACTATCGAACAATATCATCAATATCACATGCAAGTAAAATCTTACTGAAGATATTTCAAAAATGATTGCAGCAGTATATTGACAGGGAGCTTCCAGAAATGCAAGCTGGATTCAGCAGAGGACATGGAATGAGGGATATCATTGCTGATGTCAGATGGATCTTGGCTGAAAGCAAAGAATACCAGGAAGATGTTTGTGTTGTATTGACTATGCAAAAGCATTTGATTGTGTGGATCATAACTAATTATGGATAGCATTGAGAAGAATGGGAATTGCAGAACACTTGATTGTACTCATGAGGAACCTGTACATAGACCATGAGACTGTTGTTCAAACAGAACAAGGGCATACTGCATGGTTTAAAATCAGGAAGGGAGTACGTCAGGGCTATGTCCTTTACCATACTTATTCAATCTGTATGCTGAGCAAATAATCTGAGAAGCTGGACTATATGAAGAAGAATGTGGCATCAGGATTGTAGGAAGGCTCATTAACAACCTGCAATATGCAGGGAATACATCTTGGCTTGCTGAAAGTGAGGATGACTTGATGAAAGTGAGGATTACTGATGAAGATTAAAGACTGCAATCTGTAGTATGGATTACACCTCAATATAAAGAAAACAAAAATCCTCACAACTGGAGCAATAAGCAGCATCACAATAAATGGAGAGAAGATTGAAGTTGTCAAAGACTTCATATTACTTGGTTCTATAATCAACGCCAATGGAAACATCAGTCAAGACATCAAATGATATATTGCATTGGGCATATCTGTTGCAAAAGAGCTCTTTCAAGTGATGAAGAGCAAAGATATCTCCTTGAAGACTAAGGTGCACCTAATCCAAGCCATGGCATTTTTAGTCACCTCATATGCATGTAAGAGCTGGCCAATGAATAAGGAAGACCAAAGAAGAGTTGATTCTTTTGAGTCATGGTGTTGGTGAAGAATGCTGAAAGTACCCTAGACTGCTAAAAGAACTAATAAATCTGTTCTGGAAGAAGTTCAGCTGGCATTTTCCTTGGAAGCAAGAATGGCCAGACTTCATCTCACCTACTTTGGTCATGTCAGAAGGGACTATTTCCTGGAGAAGGATGTCATGCTTGGTAAAGTGGAAGGTCAACAAAAAAGGACAAAACCCTCAACAGGATGAATTGATACAGTGGCTGCAACGATGGGGTCAGGTGTATCAAGGACTGTCAGGCTGGCACAGAGCAGGCAGTGTTTTGTTCTGTTGTATATAAGGTCACCATGAGTCAGAGATGACTCAGTGGCCTCTAGCAACAATAGTTGCAATCTGCATTTTAAGCAACAGGCTAGATGGAACTTCCATTGTTTTTGCTGCCATTTGTAGCTAGCCCTCCATCTCACCTACCTATAATTTGTAACTGCTGTGGTCCTTGCCCTTTAGTTCAACTTTGTTGTTGTAGTTGCTCTTGAGTTGGCTCTGACATGCAGCCTTATGTATTAACAGTATGAAACATTTCCCCATCCTGGCTGGAGGATTGGAAAGTATTGGTATTTTAGAGTCCGTTGTTGTGGCATTTTCTGTCCTTCCAGCCTAAGGGCTCACCTTCTGCACTCTATCCGACCATATTCTGTTGTAGTCCATAAGGTTTTCATGGACTTATTTTTAGAAGTTTATCTCAAGGCCTTTCTGCATAGTCGGTCTTAATCTGGAAACTCTACCATGGTTGGCCCTGCTAATACTTGAAGTACCATGATGTAGTTTTTGCATCATAGCAACACACAGGATGACAGACTGATGGAGGAGTAGTGATTAATTCAATTTAGAAGATAGAAAATTGTACTGTTACTAAAGATGTATTTCCCAATTCTTTTTTCATTACCAAGCCTGGGATACATGGAACATCAGAGAATGAAAGTTGTTTTCCAGCTCATTCTTAACCTTTTCTGAAGCTTTCTTGTCTTCTCTCACCCCATAGCACGTGCTTCCTCCATAGCCACACAGAGCAGTGTGGCTCTCTCTCCCTTTGTCTCTCTCTCTCTCTTTTAACTTTGTATTGTGATTTTGGGAAAAGTTTACAGAGTATATTGGTTCTCTATTCAACAGTTCATACCCATTTTGTTTCGTGACACTGACTACAATCCCACAATGTACACCACTCTTCCCACTGCCTCTCTGTGGTTATCATTTCCCTTTGTCGTTCTTTCCTACCCATTCCAGCCTTCTGAGCTTTTATCCCTGAGCACATGCTGCTCCTTTGATCTCCAAGCCTCCTCCTTCACTGTCCTGTTTCCTCTCTGCCCAGTGTCTCCTGTCCCACTGAAAGAAAAAGGGGGGGCGAGGATAAGTGAGGAAATGCCAGCTGTTGTGGCTTACCAAGGACTTTTGTCAAAGATAAAAGTGTCAAAATGTACCAGATAGAAGTGGAAAATTGTTCTTTAAAGTAAAAACATGTGCTTTGCTTTAGAAACATGAAAATTGCAGAGGATTATTTTCTGTTATTTTATTCTTTTTCATTCTTTTTTTTTTCTAAGATGGAGGTGCCATAAGACAAAAGTATGAGCTCCACTTCTCACTACCTTATGCATTATATTACCTTTCTAAAACTTAAAAAGAAAAAGGAATTCAAAAGCAAGTATGGTCCCAAGTATTTAGGATAAGTACCTTCCCTGCTATGGAGCAATGGTTAAGTCCTCAGCTGCTAACCAAAAGGTCAGTGCTTTGAACCCATGAGCAGCTCAGCAGGAGAAAAACCCAAAACCAAACTCACTGCCATTGAGTTGAATTCCAACTCATAGTAACCCCCTTTGGGTTTTGAAGGTGGTAAATCTTTACGGAAGTAGACTGCCCTGTCTTCCTTCCACAGGGTGGCTGGTGGGTTTGAACCACCAACCTTCCAGTTAGCAGTCAAATGCCTTAGGCACTATACCATCAGAGCTCCTTCCACAGGAGAAAAGACCTAGTGATATGCCCCCATTAAGATCACAGCCTAGGAAATCCTATGGGGGCAGGTCTACTCTCTCACGTAGGATCACTATGAGTCAGAAACAACTTGATAGCACACAATGCCAAAAACCTTCCCTGGTGGTGCAACAGTTAAGCACTTGGCCCTTAATAGAAAGATTGTGGATCCATATCCACCCAGCCACTCCCAGAGGGGAAGGCTTGACAGTTTGCTTCTGTCTAGATTACAGTTCAGGAAACCCTACGGGTCAGTTCGGTAGCATAGTGGCTAAGGCACTTGACTGCTAACCAGAAGGCTGGCGGTTCAAACCCACCAGCCACTCCTCAGAAGGAAGATGGGGCAGTCTACGTCCGTAGTGATACTGCCTCGGGAACCCAAGGAGGGGTCACTATAACAACAGCAACAACAACAACGGGTCAGTTCTACTCTGTCCAATGGGGTCGTCATGAGTTGAAAATTAACTCAACGGCACTCAACAACACCACCTTTACTGCTATGCTTCTTTTCTAGGCAGCCAGCACTCCAGATCTGATTATTTTAACAGTGTTTTAATTGCTCTTCCTTCCTCACTCTTGCTGTCTTTCAGTCTGTTCTGAACACAGCAGCCATGGTGACATTGTTAAAATCTGAGTCAAATCCATCTCTTCCTCTACTCAAAACCTCCAACGGGCTTCCTGTTTTAGAGTAAGAGCCATGGTGCTCACAAAAGGCCTTCAGAGTCTATGTGACCACCCCCACCTTCCCTCACCTCTCTGACCTCAGCCTCCTTCCCCTGCTTCCCTGCTATTCCCTGAACAAACCAGGTACATTCCTGTTCAGGGACTTTGTACTTGTTCTTCCTTCTGTCTACTGTGTTTTCTTCCTCATGTAGATCAGTCTTTGTTCAAATGGAACCTTCTTAACGAGGGCTTCAGGAATCCCTAGGTGGTACAAATAGTTAACTCGCTTGGGTGCTTGCTGAAGGTTGGAGGTTCAAGTCTACCCAGAGGTGCTTTGGAAGAAAACCCTGGTGCTCTTTAAGAAAATCAGACATTAGAATCCTCTGGAGCACAGTTCTATTCTGACACACATGCGGTTACCATGTATCATAGTTGACTTGGTGTTAGCTTAAATTGCATCACCCACCAATACTCCTTATACCTTTTTTCTTTAGCACTTAACAACATTTGGTTAAAAACTTTCAGGAGAATAAATGTGATTTATTTTTTCCCCCCGGAATATCAGAACAACATTCCTTGAACATCTTTGACCTCAACTCTGAAATCATTGCCTGATAGGACCTTTAAGTGGATATAATCTTATTAATGTTGAAGAATCAGGGCTGAAGTGTAGATACCATCTTATTACTCACAAATTCATCTCAAGACTAAAAATAAAATGAATATATATATATGTTTTGTTGCTTCAAAAGTCTAGTCTAGGATCCTTGCCAGTTACTCCATATCCAAGCGTTCAGCAGAGATTCATTTGTAATCACTGCTCATTTCTCCAACAGGGTGGACTAAGTGCCCAGGCTTTTGTCCGTGTGGAAATAGAGGATGTGAATGATAATCGACCTGTATTTAACCCATCAACCTACGTGACAAGCATCAGTGGTCAGACCCAGCCGGGCACTGAGATCATCAATGCTCTTGCCACCGACAGGGATTCTGGGGTCTATGGAACTGTGACTTACGAGCTCATTCCTGGAGACCTGTCATCCCTTTTCATCATTGACTCCACAACAGGTATGTCATCTTGAAACAGTTTGCCTCTGAAATTAACAGCTTCTGGTTAGCAGCCAGAACATGAGAAAAAGTGACCTTTTCTATAGCTGGGATACTACAGTTCTCACTTCAGCTCTCAGGAGGCAGTGAAGTATCTTGGAAAGGGCTGGGGATTTGTAGATAGGCAGACCTGAGTCTGAGTCCCAGCTTTGTCTCTTGCTGGTCTCTTGAGCTTTATTGGCTTCAGTTTCCTTACCTTTAAAGTAGGCATAATAAAACCTACATTGCAAAGTTTTTGTGAGCTCTTTATATTCATTAATGACAAACAATAATTTATATGGAGCATTGTGGTAGTTTGGTTTGTGTGTCAACTTGGCTGGGCCTGGTTGAGTGGCTGGGCAGATGGTGGTAGTTAATCCCCATGAGGAGACCGGCAGTCAACTCCATGGTGGGATCTACCACAAGCAGCTGGGTAGCTGCCTTTGGGTATGTGGTCTGCTTCTTGTATATAAGAAGAAGCCTTTGGGTATGGTCTCTAGCCCATGGCATGCTTGGACCCTGCATGTAGCCGTGTAGTTGCTCAGCAGCCTGCTATGCTCTGCTGACCTTGGGACTTACAATGGACTTAAGTTAATGGCCTGCCATGTGGTTTGGTAACATTGGGACTGTGCCTTTTTACTTGTCAACCTTGGGGCTTCTCAGCCTCAGTAGCCAGCAGCTGTCTGAGTGAAGAAATGCCTCTAGCTCCAGTGGGCCGGGAGCAGGAGGCAGAGCTGGGCCCCAAGGTTGAGGGGCTTTCACCCAGCCCCTAGAGCCTGGCACTTTGAACTTGGACTCAAAGCCTCCAAATTGTAAGAATAAACTCCTGTTTGTTAAGGCCATCCCATTTGTGGTATATTCCTGTCAGAGCGGCACTAGGTAACCAGAACAAGCAGCTAATCTGTCATGTTTGTTTTTTTCTCGTTGTTGGGATACCCAGAGTCACTACTCTTGCTGGAAAGTGTACTTCATTTGAAGGGTTGTATGAGGGGCCAGGAGATTAGTCATTTACTGATCTTTTAGTCTTTTTTTCTTTTTGATAATATTTTATTGAGTTTTTGGTGATAGTTTACACAGCAAGTTAGCTTCCCATTTGACAATTTATATACAAATTATTCAGTGACATTAGTTTCATTTATTACAGTGTGTCAACGTTCTCTCTAATTGTGTTCTGTTTGGTCCTTTTCTAGTACTCTAGTTTCCCTACCCCTTTATGTTCTTATCTTTGCTTTTGTAGTTATTCTTGACCTTTTGGTCTCATACTGGTGGTTTTTAAGTAGGGCACCTATCCTGCAGGTAATACCTTTTATTTTGTGTGCTACTCTGCTGTTTTGCTAAAAGGTTATTTCAGGGGATAGGCTTGGTTCTAGGTTTAAGGAGTATCTCAGGGTAATAGTCTCAGGAGGTCCTCTGTTCCTTTACTGTTCCAGTTTGTCTGGACATTTCTTAAAATAAGAATTTGAGTTCTGCCCCACATTTTCATATGCCTGGACCCACAAGCTCTGGTGGTGCAATGGGTGAGGCATTTGGCTGCTAATCAGAAGGTTAGCAGTTCAGACTCACCAGCTGCTCTGTGGGAAGAAGATGAGCCAATCTACCTCTATAAAGATTTATAGCCTTAGAAACCCAGTGGGGGTTACTATGAGTTGAAATCAACTCAGTGGCAGTGTTTTTATTTTATTTTATTTTTTATTTATATAGATGCTTCTATAGGCTTGGTGGTGCTGTGGTTAAAGCATTGGGCTACTAACCAAAAGATCAGCTGTTCAAACCCACCAGTGGCTCTGTGGGAGAGAGATGAAGCAATCTGTTTCTGTAACAAATTATGGCCTTGGAAACCCTATGGGGCAGTTCTACTCTGTCCTATAGGGTCACTTGAGTGGAATCAACTCAATGACATTTTTTTTTTTTTAATAGATTTTTCTAAGGAGTCCTGGTGGGACAGTGGTTAAAGCACTTGGCTGATACCGCAACGGTCAGCTGTTTGAACCCACCAGCTGCTCCGTGGAATAAAGGTGTGGCAATCTGCTTCTGTGAAGATTTATAGCCCTGAAAACCCTATTGGGCAATTCTGTTTTGTCCTATAGGGTCACTAAAAATTGGAATCAACTCAATGGCAATGAGATTGGTTTTTATAGAGACTTCTGTCTGTCTTCACCTATGTATACACCTGTACCTACCTATATACCAATTTGCCTATACCTATCCATATGTGCTGAAACACTCATTTTAACTTTGGCTGTGCTGTGCTCGCTACCTCCACATTTGGAACTAATTTTTCCCATCACCAAGAAAAATAACAAGTAAGCATACTTTCCTTTTCCTCCCTCATCTCTCTGGTAACTACCAATTTGATCTCTCTATATTTGTCTATTATTGTCTTCTTATAGAAGAGGGATGAAACAATATTTGTCTTTATATGCTTGACTTATTTCACTTAGAGGAGCTCTGGTGGCATAGTGGGTAAGACGTTTGGCTGCTAACTAGAAGGCCATCCATTCAAACCCACCACCTGCTCTGAGGGAGGAAAATGAGGCAATCTACTTCTGTAAGATTTACAGCCTTCCAGCAGGGGTTGTTACGAGTTGGAATAGACTCAATGGCAGTGGGTTTGGGTTTTTGGTTATTTCACTTAGGATTATGGCTTTCAGGTCCACCCATGTTATGTTTTGTAGACTCATCATTGTTCTTTATGGTTGTATGTATGGCACCACAATTTGTTAATCCATTCACATGTTGATGGACACTTCTGTTGTTTCTGTTTATTTGCTAGTGTGAATAAAGCAGCAGTGAACATAGGTGTTTATATGCCTGCTAACATCATTATTTTTAGGTCTCTAGGAGCTCTGGTGGCATAGTGGATAAGGTATTTGGCTGCTAGCTCGAAGGTCAGCAGTTCAAACTCACCAGCTGCTCCGTGGAAAGAAGAGAGGGTGATCTACTTCTGTAATGATTTACAGCCTCAGAAACCCAGTGAAGGTTGACTTGATGCCAATGAGTTTGAGTTTTTGGTTTGAGGGTGTATACCTAGGAGTTGGATTGCTGGATCATGTTGTTGTTGTTAGGTGCCATCGAGTCATTTCCGACTCATAGTGACCCCATGCACAGCAGAACGAAACACTGCCCGATCCCGCGCCAGCCCCATAATCCCTGCTATAC